TCTGCCAGTAGCAAGAGATGACCATGGGTGGGAACATTGTGAACATCATCAGGAAGTCAGACATAGCCAGGTTAACGACCAAGAGGTTAGCAGGTGTTCGGAGAGATTTGGTGTTCATGAAGACCCAAATGACGACGAAGTTGCCGGCAACGGAGAGACATCCCATGACTACCATCCAGAAGCCAACGAGGCTGTACCAGAGTGGGTTCATGGGAGGGAACTGGTACCAATGGGAATCCACCATATGGAGAAGTTCCTTTGGCACAGTGTCAACCACTGTGTAGTTCCCATAGGGGTTAGTGGATGGGAGGGCGCTATTAGCCATGGCTGCGTTGTTCCACGACATCTGTTATAAGAAATAGAATACATCGCCATTTAGTTTTCTATTTCTCTGTCTACAAGCTGGGTATATATATTACTATACACAAATTATGTATATATATATATTATATATATATATCTATATGTGTGTATTTATGTTTATATACATATACATGTGTGTGTGTTTATGTCTACATACACACACATATATATGTATATATGGGCATGTATATATATTCATATTTATGTATATACACACACATACATAGTGTATGAATATATATATCATATATATGCATATACATATATATATACACATATATGCATATATGTATATATACATTTATTTTTATTTATCTATATATACATATATAGTCCTTTATTTCTATGTATATATATGTATATATATAAATATTCATTTAAATGTAACTTAAATCTCATACACTGTTACACTACATAATGAAACTGATAATTCAGTACACTTTAAGAACTTTTGGTATCAAATTGTACAGAGGAACACTTTACCTTTAAGATGGGTGTTTTTAATGTGAGGCAAAGAAATTTCTTTTCAGAACTACTTTGCACTCAGAGACAACCTGATGTGTGTGAGACCCTTGACAGGTAACTGGATCTCGTAGACCGCGGGGAGCCTTATATATACTGTAGTACTGGCAGCCTTAATCACATTAGCGAAAATATGACGTTAGTGTCCAGGCTCAGTTGCTGATAATTGTGCTGCACCTCTGGAAGTGGAATATCTATCTATCTTTATATTTTTTTTCTATGTACATAAATATATGTGTGTGTGTGTGTGCATACAGACTCACGTGTGTGTTTGTGTGTATATATGTATATGTATATATATGTGTGTGTGTGTGTGTGTGTACATATACATACATATATATATGCATATATATATACATATACATATATTATGCATACATATCTAAATATATACTCACATATAGGTATAAATATACATATACATATATTATGCATACATATCTAAATATATACTCACAAATAGGTATAAATATACATACATACACACGCACACATATACATACACACACACGCACACATATATACATACACACACATGCACACATATATACATACACACACATATATATGTGTGTATGTGTAATATATATATATACATATATATACATATATCTATTTATCAATATATCAATCTATATATACATATATATACATATATGCATATATATATGCATATATATATATATACATATATATATGCATGCATGTATATATAAACATATATATATATGGTAGAAAAACCCACAATGCAAAAACTAGATTTATTGAAAAGTTTTTGCATTGTCGGTTTTTCTACCATAGTATCTACGCGGTAGAGTGTTTTCCTCATTCTTCATATATATATATATAATACACACACACGCACACACACACATATATATATACACAAATAAGTGTGTGCGTGTATATAAAGTGTTTATATATATACATACATACATAAAGTGTGTGTATATATATGCATATATATATACACATGTATATGCACAAACACAAACACACACATATATATATATATGCATATTTCTTTGTCTGTGGATGTTTCGGAGTTTTTGCTTTGATATACTGGGCAGATACACACATCATAAAGTAGATGTGTATAGTATATATAATTCATATATATGTAGGTGTGTGTATGTGTATGTGTGTTTGTGTATGTGTGTGTGTGTGAATGTGTATGGTTGCATATAATATGTATGAATGTATGTTTATATATCTACACATGTATATTTACATATATATATAGTATAACTCAGATTATGTACGTATAAAATGAGACGCTGGTAGAGCAAATGTAAGTACCAATATATATCATATTTATGTATCCATACAATGCTTTTCATAGTATCAGTTTTAAATCCAAGACTTAAGAATATCGCCTTCTTTTTATTTTTCATATCTTTGTCCAGACGATCTACACACTATTGGCAAACAATTGTTTCATTTAATCCTACAAATCTCCTATACCTGAAAACACTGGGTGGGAAATCGAGGATATGGCAATCCATGTTTGAGTCTAGGGCACAAAAAGAAGAAAAAAGTAGGTAAGTGTCTGAGTCTGATTTAAATCTAATGATAATAATAGGGGTGGTAATCCTGATGGAAACGGTAACCATAATGGCTATAGCAATACTGGTATAACAAAGAAAATAATGTTTTCATTGATCCGTTAATGGATTTGCATTCGCGAGAGAGAAATGATTGAATTAGCACGTCGCAAAGGTTAGCCGGGAATCCCTTTTCATAACTTACCCTTAGCAATAGAGCGAAATGTTACCCATTGAGAGAGGAGGTTCTGCCTCGCTTAAGAATGCTGTAACCATTCTTCATTTCGATGGGTAGGGATAGCAAAGCTGGGAGGACTTTTGAGTAAGTGAAGTGGTTGGCTATAAGTAAATCTACATGCGCCATTCCGTGAATGAAATGCATGGCATATTTATATATAAATCATAAAGAAGAGGGCATAGCTACATATGAACGCTCAAGATCCGACCGATTTTTTTTGGCAAACTGTTTTAATCCTAGTGTAATTGCCTCCTATCCATCATGTTCTTTATGTAAATATCATATGAATCTAAATCGAAGTGTAGCACATTCACAAGGTCGAGCAGTGAATTCCTCAAATAAAATTGTTCTAAAATATTCCTCCCCATCGGCCTGTCCTTTGCTGTCTGAGTAAACAGTACCTAAAAATTCCGTCACTCTCAACTCCCTCCCGTCTCTCGACTGGACTGCGTCATATATCCATGTTGTTCCTCCATCTTGTCATGTGCATTTGAATTAAGTGGTTCCATGAAAAGTTAATTATTATTACTTTTTTTTTTTTTAGTTCATTACTAAATTTCCATCATATTGAATTGTACACACACGCACGCGCTCGTTCCTGTGTGTGTGTGTGTGTATACATATATATATGATTAGATATATATGTATAATATATATGAGTATATAAATATATATGTGCATGTGTGTATGTTGCGTATATATAATACTTTAGATGCATAATTTTGAGGAAAATAATCAGTTCCTTTGCTAAATGGGTATATTTAGAGTCGTGGAGGGTGAGTAACACAACAGATTTTTTTCTTTTGGATTTTAAATGCAAGGGTGAAATATTGAGATTCCTGTCAGTTTTGCTGTCCTTTTAAGCAGACTCAGCCTTCTCGGAGACCTGAGCAGTGCCAGTGGAACCGGCATCAGAGCCACCATCTCGGCCCTCAGTAGCGCAAGCAAGGCAAGGCAGCTTCTTCTCAAGGGCAGCACGGTACTTGGGGTGGCTGATAGGCGTACACGATGGGGTTGTAGACGGCGTTGGCCTTGGCGAAGACGGAGCCCCAGATGGAGAAAAGAGGAGTAACCATGGGCTTGTTGAACATGCCTCCCCAGTTGATGATGAAGTAGGGGGTCCAGGCCATGAACCACAGGGTGACGGTCATGAGGGCAACCTTGCACAGACGGCACTCAGCAGAGGTCTTCTGGGCTTCCTCACTCCTCAGGGACTTGACTCCCATCTTCTTGGCCTGTTCGCGCATTCCCTTCTCGTGAGCAGCAACAGCCTTGACGATGAAGGTGTAGCTGTAGATGATGTAGAAGAGAGGGAAGATGTATACCCAGATGGAGTAAATGTACAGGTAGCTCTTGGAAAGTTCAGTCTCGGTCAGATAATCAGTACCACAGGCAGTCATGTTACCCTCAGGCACATAACGGTTCCAGCCGAAGAAGGGAGGAAGGCACCAGGCAAGAGCAGTGGCCCAAGCACCACCAATTCTTGCCATGGCACCGCCAGAAGTCAGAGGCTCAGCAGACACTCCCTTAACGATGACATTGTATCGGTCAGCAGTGATGAAGACCATGGTCCAGATGGAAACGCAGCCGAACAGAGAACCAAGGAAAGCATAGATCTCGCAGAAGAATGCTCCAAGAGTCCAGGTCTGCCAGTAGCAAGAGATGACCATGGGTGGGAACATTGTGAACATCATCAGGAAGTCAGACATAGCCAGGTTAACGACCAAGAGGTTAGCAGGTGTTCGGAGAGATTTGGTGTTCATGAAGACCCAAATGACGACGAAGTTGCCGGCAACGGAGAGACATCCCATGACTACCATCCAGAAGCCAACGAGGCTGTACCAGAGTGGGTTCATGGGAGGGAACTGGTACCAATGGGAATCCACCATATGGAGAAGTTCCTTTGGCACAGTGTCAACCACTGTATAGTTCCCATAGGGGTTAGTGGATGGGAGGGCGCTATTAGCCATGGCTGCGTTGTTCCACGACATCTGTTATAAGAAATATTATGCATCGCCATTTAGTTTTCTATTTCTCTGTCTACAAGTTGCGTAAATAGATATACACATATATGTATGTACAGGTATACACACATATATGTGTTTGAGCACACACACTCACATACATCACACATATATATGTAAATATATATGTGGTGGGTATGTTGCGTATATATAATACTGTAGATGCATAATTTTGAGGAAAATAATCAGTTCCTTTGCTAAATGGGTATATTTAGAGTCGTGGAGGGTGAGTAACACAACAGATTTTTTTCTTTTGGATTTTAAATGCAAGGGTGAAATATTGAGATTCCTGTCAGTTTTGCTGTCCTTTTAAGCAGATTCAGCCTTCTCGGAGACCTGAGCAGTGCCAGTGGAACCGGCATCAGAGCCTCCATCTCGGCCCTCAGTAGCACAAGCAAGGCAAGGCAGCTTCTTCTCAAGGGCAGCACGGTACTTGGGGTGGCTGATAGCGTACACGATGGGGTTGTAGACGGCGTTGGCCTTGGCGAAGACGGAGCCCCAGATGGAGAAAAGAGGAGTAACCATGGGCTTGTTGAACATGCCTCCCCAGTTGATGATGAAGTAGGGGGTCCAGGCCATGAACCACAGGGTGACGGTCATGAGGGCAACCTTGCACAGACGGCACTCAGCAGAGGTCTTCTGGGCTTCCTCACTCCTCAGGGACTTGACTCCCATCTTCTTGGCTTGTTCGCGCATTCCCTTCTCGTGAGCAGCAACAGCCTTGACGATGAAGGTGTAGCTGTAGATGATGTAGAAGAGAGGGAAGATGTATACCCAGATGGAGTAAATGTACAGGTAGCTCTTGGAAAGTTCAGTCTCGGTCAGATAATCAGTACCACAGGCAGTCATGTTACCCTCAGGCACATAACGGTTCCAGCCGAAGAAGGGAGGAAGGCACCAGGCAAGAGCAGTGGCCCAAGCACCACCAATTCTTGCCATGGCACCGCCAGAAGTCAGAGGCTCAGCAGACACTCCCTTAACGATGACATTGTATCGGTCAGCAGTGATGAAGACCATGGTCCAGATGGAAACGCAGCCGAACAGAGAACCAAGGAAAGCATAGATCTCGCAGAAGAATGCTCCAAGAGTCCAGGTCTGCCAGTAGCAAGAGATGACCATGGGTGGGAACATTGTGAACATCATCAGGAAGTCAGACATAGCCAGGTTAACGACCAAGAGGTTAGCAGGTGTTCGGAGAGATTTGGTGTTCATGAAGACCCAGATGACGACGAAGTTGCCGGCAACGGAGAGACATCCCATGACTACCATCCAGAAGCCAACGAGGCTGTACCAGAGTGGGTTCATGGGAGGGAACTGGTACCAATGGGAATCCACCATATGGAGAAGTTCCTTTGGCACAGTGTCAACCACTGTATAGTTCCCATAGGGGTTAGTGGATGGGAGGGCGCTATTAGCCATGGCTGCGTTGTTCCACGACATCTGTTATAAGAAATATTATGCATCGCCATTTAGTTTTCTATTTCTCTGTCTACAAGTTGCGTAAATAGATATACACATATATGTATGTACAGGTATACACACATATATGTGTTTGAGCACACACACTCACATACATCACACATATATATGTAAATATATATGTGTGTAGTGTGTAATATACATATATATGTGTGTGTAATATTCATATCTATATGTGTGTGTGTGTACGCGTGCGCGTGTCTGTGTATGTACATGCACGCGCGCGTCCCTGTATATATCTCAATGATTGGTATATTTCATACATTATATATCATATATTATACTGCAATATTGTTATGCATATTACAGATGGACTCATATATGTATGTGTATATCTATATATACACACATGCGTGAGAGTGTGTATGAATTAACGAAGCCTAAATTATGTGGTAACAAAGGTTTGATAATGATAATTCAAATGGAATGAAATTGCAGTAGCAAAATCCCATTGTATGGTCTATACAATGTAGTAGAAACTACAACTTTACCTTATTTTTCAGGTGAGGCAAAGAAATTTCTTTTCAGAACTACTTTGCGCTCAGTGACCCCCGATATGTGCGAGACCCTGACAGGTAACTGGAACTCGCGGACTGCGGGAGGTCTTATATACTGGCCGCTTTAATCACATTAGGGATAGGTACGTGTACTTGTGCTGCCATTGTCGATAATTGCCTTTCAGGTTAGGAAGTAACGTTTTGTTTGCGTGTATGTGTGATTAGATATGTCTCCAGATGTTGATATATGAGCACACACACGTGCAAACACACATATATATAAGTGTGTGTGGGCAAGTATATATTTATGTATGTATATATATGTATATATACATACATGCATGTATATCCATATGTGTGTATATATATATTTATATGTATATATATATATTTATATGTATATATATATATTTATATGTATGTATATATGTGTGTGTGTGTGTGTGTGTGTATATGCATATATACACATATATATGTATGTGTATTATATATATATATATACATATATACATATGTATATGTATACATATATATATGTATACATATATATGACTGTATGTATGTATATATATACATATATGTGTATATATATACATATGTGTATGTATATTTATGTATACTTATATATATGAGTGTGTGTATGTATGTATATATACATATATGTATATATATATACATATATATGTACATATATATACATATATACATGGACATATACATATATGTATGTATATATATGCTAATAGAACAACGAAGGGAAGAAAACACGAATATGCCGAAGACATTTTCGTTGTATTACTTCTTTAGGGCATACAAAATAAGACATACACAGAGGTGTATATACCTGTAATGAGCGGACAGGTCACGTCGGTAATTAGGCTTACAACGACCTAACCTAACTAGTTCGTGGCTCTCCGTTGTGGTGTTGAAGTTGTTGATTGAATGGGGATATGGCCGTCGGTGTCGACGTGAACAACGAGGGCGCTCATCTTGCAATGACGTCGGAGAGCGCTGCCGTGTTGGTGGAGTCGTTCGTAGAGTCAACACATATACACATATATATGAAGACATAGAGACACTGTGTTTGTAGGTTCATGGGTTTATGCATGTGTGTATATACAGCCTGTATAAAACCTGCTATATGAAGACGCATGGGATTGCACTGACCAAGTATTTTTTTTTGCTCTCCATTTGATAAATCCAATTCTTATGCTTTGACATCGTTGTAAAATCACAACAGAAAAAGCAATTACTTGTATAGAATTTTGCCGTCAGGATCCCTATGTGCTACATTCCAGACTGGGGAGTAAACGCCGGAAAATCGTATTACTTACTCGGTACGTTGCAAGGAACATTTAGCTTTACTTGAGGTTGGCTAAGCATAAACCTGTCTGTACTGAATACTTTGCGTGTGAATATTTTAACCACATGTCATAACCATTTAATTCTTCGTTGAATTAATTTACTATCGGTGTTCTCTGTAAAAGTTATATTCATATATATATGAATATGTTTGTTTATATATATAATTATATATATATATGTGTATATATATATATTATGTATGTACACACACACATATATATGTATATTTATATATATGTGTCTGTATGTATAATTTATATATATGTATATATATATATACGCACACACACATAGACACATTCACACACACACACACACATATATATATATATATATATACATACATATATATGTGTGTGTGTGTGTGTGTGCATATATATGAATATATATGTATATATGAACATATATGTACATGTATATATATATATGAAATGCAACATCTCAAAATAATATGTTTCAAAATCATCCACATTCACACAAACACACACACAAATATATGTATATACATACATATATATATGTATGTATGTATATATACACATACATGTATATGTACATATATATATATATACATATATATATCCTAGCCACTGGGTGGGCAAGCCAGCCCAAGCCAGAACCTAATCATACCGACCACGTATGAAAATGGGACAAAGCTATCGAAAAATTGTTATATTTACTTATTTGCATCGAGCAAATATAACAATAGGTTTATTTTTATTAATTTCTTAATTTCATATATATATATATATATATATATATATATATATATATATATATATATGCGATAGGTGTCTCATTTCTACATTAATCGTAGACATTTGCATGTACACTTAATATGAGGAGGACAATTGTCCAAATGCGTAGTTTTATTTTAGCTTAGGAAAAAAAATTATATTCCCTTTTTCTTTTATACAGAAATTCAAAAGTGAAATGTTGAGATTCCTGGCAGTTTCATAAGCAGATTCAACTTTCTCGGAGACTTGAGCAGTACCAGTGGAACCGGCATCAGAGCCATTTTGTCCCTCAGTAGCGCAAGCAAAGCAAGGCAGCACAGTTCTTGGGGTGGCTGATGGCGTACACGATGGGGTTGTCCTTGGCGAAGACGGAGCCCCAGATAGACAGATAGATAATGTACACACACACACACACACACACACACATATATATATATATACATATATGTGTGCGCGTGTGTGTATGTGTGTATATTCACACACACACATATATATACATATATATAGATAGATAGATAGATAGATAGATGTGTATATATATGTGTATATGTATATATATACACAATATGTATTCACATGTATATGCATGTGTGTGTGTATATACATATGTACATATGTATCATATACATAAATATATGTACGCATGCACATACACACATTTATATATATATATATGATTATACATACATATATATATGTGTATGTATATTCACACACACACACATATATATGTAAACACACATACATACACACACATACAGACATATATATTATATATATACATATATAAATGTGTATATATATTTATATATGTACGATATATATATGTATGGATATAAACACATGTATGTGTATTTATTGATGATTGTGTGTGTATTTATTGATATCATATTCTTGAAAGCACTAAGAAAAATCATATTAACCCCTGAATCCGAAAATATATTTTTAGCTTTTGAATTTATATCGAAGATATAGGGACAATATATTTCCTTACACACATGTGTGTGTATACATATGTGCTCATATTCTATGAACATAAAATTAGGAAAATCAATGTATCCAGTGCATGCTTGGGTGTATATATATTTTTTTCAACTTTTAAGTTTATCTCGAAAATATAAGGATAATGTGTAAAGTTACTAGAAAGTTTGCTCACATCTATGCAGTCAGTAATCTGACATCTTAAGCAGACTCAGCCTTTTCGGAGACCTGTGCAGTGCCAGTGGAACTGGCGTCGGAACCATCTCGGCCATCAGTAGCGCAAGCAAGGCAAGGCAGCTTCTTCTCAAGGGCAGCACGGTACTTGGGGTGGCTGATGGCGTACACGATGGGGTTGTAGACGGCGTTGGCCTTGGCGAAGACGGAGCCCCAGATGGAGAAAAGAGGAGTAACCATGGGCTTGTTGAACATGCCTCCCCAGTTGATGATGAAGTAGGGGGTCCAGGCCATGAACCACAAGGTAACAGTCATGAGAGCAACCTTGGCAAGGCGGCACTCAGCAGAGGTCTTCTGGGCTTCCTCACTCCTCAAGGACTTGACTCCCATCTTCTTGGCCTGTTCGCGCATTCCCTTCTCGTGAGCAGCAACAGCCTTGACGATGAAGGTGTAGCTGTAGATGATGTAGAAGAGAGGGAAGATGTACACCCAGACGGAGTATACCCACAGGTAGCTCTTGCTCAGGGTGGTCTCATTCAAGTAGTCAGTGCCACAAGCGGTCATGTTACCCTCAGGCACATAACGGTTCCAGCCGAAGAAAGGAGGAAGGCACCAGGCAAGAGAGGCAGCCCAGGTGCCACCAATCCTTGCCATGGCACCGCCAGAAGTCAGAGGCTCAGCAGACACTCCCTTAACGATGACATTGTATCGGTCAGCAGTGATGAAGACCATGGTCCAGATGGAAACGCAGCCGAACAGAGAACCAAGGAAAGCATAGATCTCGCAGAAGAATGCTCCAAGAGTCCAGGTCTGCCAGTAGCAAGAGATGACCATGGGTGGGAACATTGTGAACATCATCAGGAAGTCAGACATGGCCAGGTTAACGACCAAGAGGTTAGCAGGTGTTCGGAGAGATTTGGTATTCATGAAGACCCAAATGACGACGAAGTTACCGGCAACGGAGAGACATCCCATGATTACCATCCAGAAGCCAACGAGGCCATACCAGAGTGGATTCATGGGAGGGAACTGGTACCAATGGGAATCCACCATATGGAGAAGTTCCTTTGGCACAGTGTCAACCACTGTGTAGTTCCCATAAGGATTGGTGGATGGGAGGGCGTTGCTGCCCATGTCTGCGTTGTTCCACGACATCTGATTGGAAAATTTAATATATAATAAAATATCAGGTAACACATACATTTAC